AATATCATTAAGAGCTTTTTTAAATTTCAATCGAAGTTTCGGAATAAGGTAATTGAATTTAAAGAAACTTATCTGGTATATTATAAGTTATTGAGCATAACATTAAAAATAATTATTCTTAAAATTATGCATCATTAAAAAATAAATTATAAGAAATATTTTTTGTAAATAGTAAGCATCTACTACATTTTTACACTAATGATATTGATAGTCTCTTCTATGAACTACAAAAAAAGTAGTTGAACATTATATTAAATTATAATTAAAACTGAAAATATGAAAGTGTTTGATTGTTCCCATAAGAACAGTTATATTTTTTTATTGTTTAAATCAAAAACATTAATTAAAAACTTAACTAACTTTAATGAAACTTTAGTTAAAAACTTTTAAATTTGTCAAACATATTGAAGGGGATTATATCTTGACAGGTATCCAGTCTCAAAATCAGGGGAAAACATCCTTAAATTTTCACTATGTTAAGTAACATAATCACCAATCAAAAAGTAAACTCAGAATCAAATCTTTTTTCTAATTTTCTTTATTTTGATATAATTATCAACATTAAACAAAACGAAATCGTTGAAAAATTCAAAAATTGAAAAATTTAAAATAAATTTTAAGAGCTTAAATTGGATACTCAATTTAGATCTTGCGTCATTAATGATCAGCTTACTTAAATTAATGTTGCCCCAGAGATGCACAATACATTATTAATGATCTTTGGGAGGTTTACTTCAGATAATTAATCAAGATACATTATTAATTTTCTAAAATATCGAATAATTTCATTTAATCAACAAATGATAATTATGCTATTGTAGAATTCTTACAGAGCAACTTTCCTTCGAAAATAAGTTTCCTTCTCTTTCTGAGTTTAATTAGAATTTCCTTTGCGTCTTGAAAATACGCCCTTTAAGTATTTTTTCCATGTTAAATTCGTTTATTTGCTTTTAGTTACGTATTTTGTAATATTATAATTTTCGTTTTAGGTATTTTAGTTGTAGAATAATTTCAATTTTACCAGCAGAGTTTCGTATCTGATGGGGTTTAATTGAAAAATAATATTTCCATGGCTATGATTTTTTTTAAAAATTTAACCTTATTTTCAAAATTCCTGTTTAATCTGAATATTAAATGTACGCATTTTCTTTCTTTATTCTTAAGTGTCGTCGGTAGGTTGAGAACTGAAAGAGATATTGACCTATAAGAGGATGAGGTTGAATCGGACATGCATCACACCACCTGAATTTAAACGTTGTGACTTTTGTCTGTTCCAAAAGAAATATAATCCCAAGATGCATCCCTTTATTCTAGTAATAAGGGGAAAGGGACTATTAAAGCCTGTTTTCGACAACAACCACGGGAATAATTCTCAGATTATTCACGTATTGACTCAAGTGCAGTGAAAGGGATTATGTCAAAAAGTTAAGATTTCCTTTTACAGAGCTTAAACATAATTTTCAAATACAGCAAGAATCAAGAAAACCGGATAACAAATAAAAATGTTATATCTATGTAGGTATTATTCGTAATTTGTCAATAACTTGAAAAATTAAAGCCAAGGAACATTTGGGTAATATATCAATTTCAATCCTCCACAAAAGTTAAATATTTCTTTAAAAAAAAGGGGGGGAGTATTTATGTTTTATTATTTTATTCATTTTTAATTAATTAATTTAATTAATCATTTTTATTTTATTGATTTATTTATTCGCTTTTAATGTTTTACTTATTTTATTATTCATTTTTATTTATTTATTTATTGTCTTTAAAGCTGTCAGCGCCATAAGTCCGAAATTTCCCATACAACTGCATACTTGCCATAGATTTCCATTATATTAGCCGAAATTTACTTGTACTTTAAAGTAACTTTTACAAATATATTGAGAATGTACAGTTAATCTGTTTTGTATAAATAAGAACACATTTTGGAGTAGAAAATTATTCAAATACTCACATAGAATCAATTACAATACATATCCAATTATCATGCAATATCCTTAAAATTTAGACAAATTTCTAAGTAAAGATTTTTTTTAAAAAAAATTTGATTTGGAAATTAAAAGTCACTTCAGTATTACAGAATATTATTTGATAAAAAAATATAAAGTAAAAATGATTAAATCGAAGATGCTTAACACGAAACATTGGTTATCATGAAATAGTACTGTGGTCCTGACAAAATGCTGCGTAATTTCTTACATTTTTTTCTTCTTTTAACACGAAACAAAATTCGCTTAACATAAAAAGATTTCGCACCTCGAATCCAGGTGTTTTGTTTATTTTTTCTTATTTATTTATTTCATTTATTTATTTTGAGATGAGATAAAATAAACATTGATTGCTACTGTTTCTAGCTTTGTTTTTGGATAGATAAAGGCACTGCAACTGTCAACATTTAACTCAAAAATTATTTTAGTTCCCTTAGTTTCATGTTAAACCCTTTTCGCTGTATTTTACCCAAGAAAATATATTGACTCAAATGTAAATAGATAATGAAACATAGTGCTCTATTTATGAATATGGAGTCTAATTATAGGGTGGAGCTTTCCGTATAATGCTACAATTAGTGTTTCTGTATATTATTTCAGGTTAAAGCCAGCTCAAGGAGATTTGTTCATGAATCAGCACCGCTTAAAATCATGCAGCTGTTTTTTGAAAATTATTGTTCTGAAATAGTAATACAGCAAGCTTTCCGATGCACCCTCAAAATCTTGAGGCTACAGATACGTTGCTCCCCATGATTATGGTAAAGTGGATTTAAATTTTAAAGGTTTTTGAATTTAAGCATAAGAGACCCCGAAAGAGACATAGCACGTTGAATATTCAGAAGTGTGAATTTTCCGGTGGGAAATAAGCTTGTTTTCTCTTTGCAGCTACCCAGCATCCCTCCAGACCTCTTAAATATCCTCTTAAATAAGAAGCTCGCCACGATTTTGATACACATATTCACACATTCACAGTCGAAAATCACACACAAAACACTTACACTAAATTTTTTAAGCAATGAAAAAAATCTAATTTATTCCGTAGAATATCACAATTATAAGAATAAGAATCCTTAAGATAAGAATTGTTAATTTTAATCATGTTGCTCAAATGAACTAATTGAATGCACCAAATGATGATCTTCTCATTCAAGTCATTGTTCTCAATCTTATTATTCAGTTCTCCTCTGTGATCAGAGTCTTCTCACTAACAATTATGCGATCAGATCATTTGGTAGAACAAATCTGAAAATTCATAGTTTAAAGTAAATGAAAGAATTGTGGCGACTTGTGATCGCTCAGCATTCAAGCCTGACGTCACTCTACCATTATGAAAACGAGCCGGCCATTTTGATAAGGCAAGTCACCTGAAATGGTTTGAAACCGAAGTAAACTCAATTCCTTCTGCTACCTGCTATTTAAGGTAATATGTTTGTCTTCTGTTTAACATCTTTTAAATATTTTTAATAAACTGCTGATGTTAGAATGTGTAGCGTCCAGTCTTTTTGTGTGATATTGAATTACCTTCTGATAAGGAGTCCGTTGTATTCACCTCCACAATAGTGACACCACAGATCAAAGTTAAGGTACTACCTTAACATTTTATCGTAATAAAGCAGTAACCTTGGAATAATCAAATAACATTAGACAAGATAGCGTCATTGTAATGAGAAATACACGTCTAGAAGTCATGCAAAATGTGTTAGAAAGAGCCAAATCCTGTGAGGAGAACCACGGGGTCATTTATAATATATTATGTTTAAATATTTTTAAAAATTGCAAAAATATACCATTTTCATCCTAAATAAAACATATTTTCTTCAATCATATAAGTAATGAAAAAAATGCATTGAAAAGTAGCCTTTTCGCCACTCCGTATAATAGAATGTTTGAAAAAAAAAATTATTTTAAAAAAAGTTCCAAAGTCTCAATACTATTCCCGTACAATAAATGAAGAGTTAAGTTTTATTTTTTTTCTAAGATTCTTTCTACATTTTTATGTTTGAATTTTTGTAGTATGTCAGTCTGAAAAATGGAGGAATTTGAGAAGTCTATAGTTTCCAACTTCTCATACGTATTACAAAAAAGTCGAAACTACTTCAGTGATGTATAATATACAAAATTTTTATATTTACAAATATATCGTGATTACACAACTTCCCAACAAACTCCTAACTGATGATATGTTCTGATAGTGTATTATGGGTATATTTTGATTAATGAGTTCCTCAAAAAAAAGATATCTGGAGGAAAAAAGGAAAACTTCTTAGATAACGTCAAAAAGTGTTTCCAAAAGTTTTCTTTCATTATTTCGTTGGATTATAAGCTTTTTTTTAATTTCATCTTTTACTGATAAGAGTTTTCATGATTGCAACTAAAACTCGAAATCATTTCTGGGGCTTTTTTATTAATAACAGCCTTTAGATTTTAATAATATTTGGAATGTCTGATATTTATTGTTATTATTAATCTTACGTAAGAAACAAATGTTAATATCATAAAAAATATCGATTATCCTTATATGTTTCTGTTCTTTACGCATTTCTTAACACGAAAAAAATAAAGTTTTTACATAACTGCGTAAATGAATAGTCTCATAAAATATAATTTCATATAATGTTTCCTAGACGAAATTACTTTGAAGATTAATTTTGTTTTTTATTGCATATTATAGAAGGTTATTTAGTTTCTCGTAAACACAGCATTTTAGTGCTTAATTTTATTGTTTATAGTATTATTTAAATATTAATTTTCAAAAAATGTGTAGAGGCATAATTCTTTTTTAAAGGGTTTTCTTCTACTCACATTGTAACAATGTCTGGGTTAAAACTTTAAAATATTTTTTTCTCACATTTTAAAGCATTCGATAGAGCTGAAATTTTCTATATACGATTGTTTTGAAAGACAATACGATAATTTATTTATAATTAGTAAAAATTAATTGATTAAAACTAATTATTTAAAGAATTAAATTTTAATCATGTAATTACAATAATAATGCTGATACATGTAGCTCGGCTAACTCAGTCGGTAGAGCACCACGAGACTCTTAATCTCGGGGTCGTGGGTTCGAGTCCCGCGCTGGGTGGAAGTTTACTGTTATTAGTGGGTTTTCTTCTACTATCATTGTAACTATGACTAGGTTGAAACATTACAAGCTTATTCCTCACATCTTAAGGCTCTCAAATGAGCTGAATTTTTCTATACACGATTGTTTTGGATGACAATGTGATAATTTAATTATAATTTTCAAAATTAGTTGATTAAATCTAATTATTTAAAGAATTAAATTTTATTCATCATTCCAATTAACGCCAACGTTCTATTTCGCTTTTAAAATTTAAGGTATAAAAATATTATGTTACGCAAAGTGTGAAGTTTGAAAGAAAATGCATGTTTAAAACACTCGTTTTTTACCGATGTTATTCCTTTTTAAAAGCATTACTGCACTATTACAGCACCGAAATTGTAAAGCAATCGTCATATCAAATATTAAATCCCATTTCTTCTCATGTGTCAAAATAGAAATTAACTGTGTTTTTTTTTTGTTTTTTTTTTTTTTGCTTCTATTCCAAAAGACGGAAAAGTCTATTTGACGTACAGTAAATAGGTAAAGGAGTTATTAAACACATTTTACTTCATCATTTTAAATTGTTTTTAACTATACGCAAATATAATGTAATTTACAACTGGTGTTCAAAAGGTAAGTTAACTTGATCTGCCATATAGGGCAACACTGAGAAACAAGAGCGAAGCATGAGCAGTCGGTAATTGTGTTCCACGGCTTCTAACGCCAGCAATTTCATTTAGATAGTGGCAACCGCTGGCGCGTAGTACGAGAAAAAATTGGTGCTTCGGCTGGAAATTCATTCCAACGTTAAAGTAACCGGAGCAATACGTTTATTGTGAGCAAAACGTTTCACGAGTTCGGAGATTCATCTAGAAATATCGACAGTGCATGTGCCACAGGCATTGTCAAGTCCAGCCATTTTGAAATGCTACTAAACTTCAACGATGGTCGCAAAGATTTTACCGATGCAAAAAGACAAAGAAGATCTACAACGTTGAGCGCACAACGTTGAGTCATGATGTACCCAAAGTTCCCAAGTCAGCGGGTAAAGACATGGCTATAGGTTTTTTCGATTAGAAAAGAGTTGTCCTCACCAAATTTACGTGGAAGGGCAAAACCATTAATGCTGAGTTGTATTGTAAAACACTAAGAAGTTTCCTCAAAGCTGTGAAAAATAAGAGTAGTAAAAGTTGAACAAAAACATTGCACGACAATACAAGACCTCGCAAGACACACAACACAGGGTCTGTTTCGCAATTTTGGATAGAAGGTCTAGCAGTATCCACTGTGCAGACCCGATCTGACATCTTGCAACTTCCACGTGTTCGGCAAATTCTAAGTACATTTGGGTTGAAGGTAATTTTTCAATATGAACAAGTTCAGACAATTAATCTATGCTGGCTCCAGGACGAAAGATCGATTTTCTATCGTCGGGCATCGAACGATTGGTGTAACGTTCCGACAAATATCTGCAGTGACTGGGAAATAAAGGGAAAAAATAGTGAGCTGTCTGTGTGTCAAATTACTTTGTAGGGCACTTCTCTATTAGATGTGTTTTGAATTACATTGTTCGAGTGTAACTTAGTTTTTGAATGACTCTAAGACATATTACACACCCTCAAAACTATTTATTTCAACTTCATAATGAAGATCAAAGCTCTTTCTGAAATTTCTCTCTCTCTCTCTCACTGTTATTTTCAATGAAGTCACCTAGTCTCATTTGTCACATTCATTTTTTCACGTTTAGGCAAATGTCAGAAGAAAGAGATTACATCCAAAATGTTTCATTCTGCACTCCTCTCAAAATACAAATCATTTAGTATAATTTCATCAGCGATTTCAGTTATCACTACTAAATTTTTACTACGAAATTCTGTAACAAATGCTTTCGGTTCTTCGTTTTCAGAATCACTGTTTCCCACTGCATCTGAATTCTTTGTTTCGTCAGTTCTTGAAGGTCGTGTTTGAAAAAGCTCTCACTGGAAACCAGGAATAACTCCTCCAGATCTTGCTCACATACTCGAACATCTCCTACTGCCAGTGTATCGATTAGATTCAAAAATTGAAAAAATGTATACTACTCACTCTTAAGTGTTCTGTCATACATAATAATATGCACATGCTCAAAAGTATTATCAAATTATTACTAAATAATACAGCTTCTCGATTTTCTTTTTGACATAGTTAATAAGCACGCATAACAAATTAATTTTTAATAAAAACATATAAGAAACTTTATGGACAATAGAAAATACAAAACAAAAGAAAGTGAAATAAAAAGATTGCTTTAAATCTAATGAGTGTTAATAGGGGTCTTATCGTGATATATATAAAAATTTGTGTGGGTTTACATATTATATTGTTGAGGGTAGATAAAAAGATATCATTAATTCGATCTATAGCAAAATTGGTGTTACCAATGTGTGCTTCTATCTGAAAATTAGAGCCAAAATGAATTTGGTTTTAATACACCAGTTAGTAAATTTGCTGCGAATAAAAAATTGATTGCAGCCGACTTAAGAGTCTTTTCATATTGCGTTTCTTTGTATCCGTTGATATGAACTGGATTCCTCACTATACGCTGGAGAGCAAGTAAAAATCAAAACAAAGGGTTTTTTCGTTAAATGTACAATAAATATGGCTAAGATGGTCTCATCGGCCAGAATAGTTACAAGATGGATTTTTAGAAATGTGAAGGACCCCATACTCATGAACGTCTAGGAAAAATGAAAGCGATTAATAGGCATTATTACAATGAGTTATTCTATTCCTAACTCGAGTAACTTTTGCACACTTGTCTCGTACCGCACTCCACATATATAACAATCAATGGTTCATAGCAATTCTACATCTTCGACCGTCCTGTAAAAAGGTGACCTGACCATCTTAATTCTAATTATAGGAATTCTTCAAAATTTAGATATCCACAAGGGATGCGTCCACTTCTCAACCTAGAAAAATAATGCTGAAAAGAGAAAAATTAAAAACACTAGCATAGCACAATAATTAAATATCATCCATCATCTTGGGAGTATCGTCATCTTGTTAAGTCATCGGCTTCTCTTTTCTCTTCCTTTTTCTAACGTCTTTTTAGATGCAAATAACACAATCATATTCGAAGGAATATAGTCATAAATGAGAAAGGTGACAAATTGGTTGGAAAAAGTCATCATGTTAGACACAGTCAAATGAATTAAGTACTATGATATTTTACGTTATTCATCATTTTCTAATAAATTATGCACGAGTAGTTATATTATTCGGTACATCATGCTCTCCTTTTGAAACTTCATAGACACCATTACCTCTAATTTTAATGATTTTGAATGGACTTAATATTTCGATTAATGGAATGCGGACCGTATTGGGTACTTTTAATAGCAATTAAATCACCTAATTTAAAGCAATGAGGCGTTCGAAATAGTCTTCACAGTTGAAAATTTTGAAAAGGTCTTCAATTGTTTTTATTTCGCTCTGTCATCTGAGCTAATTCAATTCTCTCTGAGCTAATTCAAGTTTAGGTAAACATTTTCCGTAGAAATATGAAATGTATTAATAGGGAATCTACTTAAAGCATCAACATGAGAAATTTTTGACCCAAATCGGTGTTCTATTATAAATAATTAGATTTCTCTGGTTATAAAACTCATCGATCAACTCGTGTAGACAAGTCTCGTTTGTCCATAGTTTTCTCAAATGCTAAGAAGTCTGTAACGCTTTTAAAGGGTATCCCTAATAAATAAATTCGGAATTTCTTAACAATCTCTAAAATAGCAAGAACTTCAAGTTTATAACTGGAATACTTCTTTCCTGCGTCTGTAGTTTTTCATATAATATGTAGGATGAAAATTATTATGGTTTTTAGATTTTTGCAGTACAATTGCACCATACCTATTCCGGCTAATTTCCGTATGTATTTCTGTTTCAAAATTTGGATTATATATTCCCAAAACAGAGATTTCTGAGAGAGTAACCTTTTAAACTTATTTAAAGTATTTTTTTCTTCCTCGTTGAATTTAAATTTTCAATCCTTTTTCAAAAGATCACAAAGAAGTTCAGCAATAACAGAAGAGTTAGGAATATATTTTCAAAAATATCCGGTTAAGTCTAAAAAAAATTGAATTTGTTTCAAATTAGCAGGTTCAGGAAAATTAAGAACAGCTTCGGTTTTTAAAGGGCAAATATAATTCTTTTCTATCAAATGTACCAGAAATTTAATCCTTCAAAAACTGAGATATCTTAAAATTGATTTCTAAGCCATATTCACACGCAAGACTGAGAAATAATCTTAGAATTTCGATTCCTTCCTTTTCATTAACAGATAATATTATTACATCATCCATGATGCCATCCACCAGTCGTCAAAAAATGACATTTATTAATCTTTGGAAAACTGATGGTGAATTGCAAAGGCCAAAAAGGTACATTAAAAAATTGATACTGTCCTTAATGAGTAACAAATGATGTTTATTTTCAACTTTGTTTGTTTCTATCGACAGGAAAAAAAACATTTTTTAAATCAATAGTACTAAATACTCGCGATTCCTGTAATCGATCCAAGACATCTTCAATCAATGGTAAGGGAAATCTGTCTTTGACTATAATTTTATTTAGCTTCCTATAATCTATACATATCCGAGGAGATCCTTCTTTTTTCCTAATAATAACAATTTGACTATAATAATCAGAAGGACAAGGCTCTATAATATCCTGTTCTAACCATTCAGTTATTTGAGAATCAACAATCTTATTTTCCAGAAAAGGTAAATGTCGAGGTTGTTGATGTATTGGCTCATTATTTTTAAATAAATATTTAATTATATATTTGCTTATTTCATTTTATTCGGTCCATAATTTCAAATAGACTGACGCACTTCATCTTTACTGGAATTTGAAATATTATGCCCGATATTTTCTTCGATTTCATCAAAATTAATATTTACAGGTGAAACTGATAAAATATTATTTTCTTCATTCGGAGACTTATTTTTTATTGTAATTCCATTTTCATTTATTAT